AAAAAAAAGAGAGCTCCCCTGTGTCGTGTCCCCCCAAACCCCCCCCCCCCCCGTTCTCACATGCAAGTGCGAACCTGCATGCAATCGTACACAGTAATTGCCCCACACATGTGAGGTATTGCCGTGAACGTCAGAGCAAGAGCAATAATTCTAGCACCAAACCTCCCGAGTAACTCTAAACTGGTAGCCTAAATAATACTTTTATTAAAGTGTCACCTATAGAGATTTTACAGTAGGTTTAAAGCAAGATATCTTTGGTATCTATTCAGCGTAACATCAGTCTTTATATTTTACAAAACAATTGAGTATTATATTGTGTTATGTGCATTAAAATTAATTAAAGTTTATTTTTCCCAAAAAATGTGTGTTTGAAAAACAGCTGCGCAAACATCAATTGACAAAAAAATATGCAACACCCACCATTTTATTCTCTAGGACCTCTGCTTAAAAACATTACATTATGTTTGGGGGTTCTAAGTAGTTTTCAAATGCTGATTTTTACATTTTAGAGAGTGATGTCAGAATTGGCCTCTATGTGCATGGGGTTCCTGACAGTACCTGTGCATAAAGGCTGTTATAAGCTTTTCATTGCTTCCTGTCTGTTATATCTCACTAGCAACCAATAGACAGCAGCTGTAAAAACTGAAAATAGGGATTTTAGCAAATCAAGAAAGGAAGGTTAATGTCAGTGTATCCAAGCAGACTCTCTGTTTGCAGTTTAATGCACATCTGAACATCTGAAAGTAAAGCTGATTTTTACACAGTTTTCACAGCTGCTATGTGGGTATTGCTAGAGAGCTGTGGTATCAGAAATGAAAGATCAAAGAGTTTACTGATGCCTCTATGCATAGATACTGTTAGATGGAAACACAAGAGGAATGGAATGGTTTAATTCAAAGTTAAACTCAACAGACATTTTTCTTACTTTGGGTAGTAAGAAAGCTGATCTAAGTCTTGTAATTTCTGGATTGCAGAGGTTCTTCTGCCTTGGCAACATGGACACTTGCCATTGGCTTTTTGAGGAGCTTGTCCTCCCAGGCTTCAGTAGACTGCAGTGGGGGGCGGCATCACCACAAGGACAGCAGTTGGCATAGGCACAGACTATAGCAATGGATCACTGATCTCTAATCTTGGAAGAGACACCAAGGGACACATGATGGCAGTGTAGTACTGACCCCTGAAAGAGCCTACTGCTTTTCTCCAGATGCTGTTCCCAAATTAGTGCATCAGCAGCCAGGCACATGGTAACAGTCATTCCTCTGGTTCAATGAACAGTCTAGGGTATCTTTTTCATGCTTTATTGAAAGTTGTACTTGGACAGGGTACAGGGAAGCTGTTGGGATACAGTAGCACAATTTAGTAACACGAGGACACTCTTCAGGTTCTCAAAGCTTCTTAGTACAGTCCATGGCAGCAACCAAGGGATTGAGCAACACTGAGACACAATAGGAAATGTCCCAGTTCAAGCAAGCTCAAAATATAGTAGCAGCACACAGGTACTAGGATCCTGCACTCAGGTCTGTACTCACAATGTCCCTGGATACTTGAATGCCTCCTTCCAATATCGGCCATACATTTTGACCGTGAACTCTCCAAATCAGATCCTCACTGAAATCCCTTAATCAGTTCCAACAAATCTCAGCAGAACAAGCCCCCCAGCTCTTAGCATATCTGGAACCTTGATGAGCATACAAAGAAGTACCTCTGAAATTCCAGAAGGGCAGAATCTCTTCAGGCTAGGGACATCTCCTGAACAAGAACAGAGCTGCCTCAAGACCCAGACTATTTATGCACTCCTCAACCACTTACTGGGCATACTCTACAGGAATTTGCTGAGGCCACATAAATGTTCAGGCTGTGGGTCTGCCTTTTCCAGCCAACTACATTCCAGAATCCTTCAGCAATCAGGGGGGGAAGCAGTCAAACCTACAGCCAATGAAATCTAGACCAGCCAAAAGTAATCACAAACTGCTCCACTACAAGAGAGTCAAAAAGAACTACCTTTACCTAGCCTATCTAATATCTTATCTAGAAGGGTGCTACACCAGATGTAGCTAGGGAGTAAAAAAAAGTGTTAGAAGGTTTTAAAAAATCTGGGGGGGGGCCTCACAGAATTTGCCTGGAGATGGGTTTTAAAAACATTAGGACGCTGACTTAAAATCCAGGGCCAAGACAAGGGGTGGTCAGGAGGGGCGGCTAACCTGGGCTCTGTGGTATCATGTGGGGTGGGGGCACCACAAGGAGATTGGGAGGAGGGGATTTGCATTGGGAGGGTGAATGTTGAGGGGTGACAGGGGTTAAGGGGGGGAAGGAAAAGGAGGGAAATTTGAGGAGGTGTTCTAGGACTGGTGATTTGGGGGGGGGGGGGGGGGGGGATTTGTGTTAGGATGGGGGAAGAGCATTTGTGCTAGGTGATATTGTGGGTGGGGATTTGTTGTAGAAGGGGATGTTTTTGAGGGGGGGATTTGTGCCTAGTAGGTATAATTGGGGGGTATTTGTGCTAAGAGGAAACATTTGGGGGGGGGGGGGGGATTGTGCTATGGTGGGGAATGGGGAAAGAGGAGTTTGTGCTCAGAGGAGGGATTTAGAGTAGGGGGGAGAGGTTTTGTGCTTGGTGGAGAAATTTGAGGGGTAGATAATTTGTGCAATGGGAATTTTTTTTTTTGGGGGGGGGAGGGGTTGAACTTGGGGCATATAAAAGAGAGAGGGGATTTTGTAGGATATTGTTATTATATATATATATATATATATATATATATATATATATATTGTGTCTATAGATGGTGTATACAGGGTCGGACTGACCATTTGGAAACTCAGTAGGGGGCCCCATGAGATGCCCCTGGTACCTTTTGCATAGGCTTATTTGAGTTTGGGCAAGGACACAGGGGCCCCATGATCCCCTATTGCCTGGGGGCCCCATGAGTTGTCTGTCCGCCCCTGCGTGTATATTTGTGTTTATGACCAAAAGGATAGCCAAGGACACCTTACTATGTCAATTTAAGCACAAGATAATTACCTTACCTTTATGTTGGGTTAACCTGTTTTGGGTATAGATTTGGGAAAGGTCTAAATATTCATAGTGTATTGTTTATGGTGAAGGGAGCAGTTTTGCCATAAACAAGACAATGAGTATCTATTTCACTTTTTAATTAAAATCTATGCATACAGCTATTCTAGGTCTAGACACATAAGACACATACGATCAAACATGCTCATAAAACCAACCAATCAGATTGTTCGACACTTTGGTCAATGGGAAAAGGTGTATATTAGGGAAGGTTTTTTCGGTTAAGTTCTGGCTGGAGTTCTGGAGAAAGGTGGTCTGAAGAAAGAACGGATGGGAGAAAGGTGATCTGAAGAAAGTGGGATGAGGAGAAAGTGTGATAGAAGAAAGTGGGATGAGGAGAAAGTGTGATAGGAGAAAGTGGGTCCTATGAGGGTTTCTGATGATTGCATGAGTATTCTGGGTACCCTGTCATCTGCCTTGTCTGTACCTCTGTTTTATTAACTGTTTCTGAGCTGATTAAATGCATCTCTCTGGAAAAGAACTGTTGGACTAGTTGCTGCGGGAAAATACATTTATAAATATTCTGTTTTATGAATTGTCTCTGAGCCCATTACATCTCTCTGGAAAAGAAATGCTATATTTGCTGCTATATTTGCCATGATATAAGACAACAGATTTGATCTGGGGTAATGGAGGGAGCAGGGGCAGACTGACAACTCATGGGGCCCCCGGGCAATAGGGGATCATGGGGCTCCTGTGTCCTTGCCCAAACTCAAAAAAGCCTATGAAAAAGGTACCAGGGGCATCTCATGGGGCCCCCTACTGACCCCGGGCCCTCAGGCAGTGCCCTATGGGATCATGGGACCCCTGTGTCCTTGCCCAAACTCAAAAAAGCCTATGAAAAAGGTACCAGGGGCATCCCATGGGGCCCCCTACTGACCCCGGGCCTTCGGGCAGTGCCCAAGTTTCCAAATGGTCAGTCCGCCCCTGAGAGGGAGCAATGATTTGGGCTGGGAAGGGGAATTTCAGCAGCATGGCGGTTTGTACTGGGTAGAGGGGCAATTTATACTTAGGGTTGATCTTGTAGATTAGTGCTCAATTTTTTTTTGGGGGGAAGGGGATTTTTGCTGACCTATAATCCTCATACATCTGAAGGGGGGAGCGCAATTTTGGCATGTTTGCACTGGACTCAAAATGACCTTGTCCCAGCACTGCTTGTATCCATCCACCTACAAAACTGGAATGCTGCAATATAAACAAGTGATTTCCAAGTTGGGAAAAGCAATTCCAAAATGAGACAGATCACTGTTCTTGCCTTTATTACTGCAAAGGGAAAGATTACATGTTGCAGAGAGAGATGAGCTTGGGCCATTTCAGTTCTATCTGTAACAGGCAAGCTTTCTCAGTGGTCTGTCAATCACACGAGATTTTCCGCTTGGATACATTTTCCTTTGTGTTGTGTGAGCTTCTAGAATTCTTACAGAGATCTTGTGATAAAAATAAACCATCAAAAAAAAAAAAAGGCTTGGAAGACCAAAAGGGTTTAATCAATAGGCCTAATCCGTGAAATGACCATTGCTTGGGGTCATAGCATTAGCATTGAATATATTTTGTCGGAAAAAAAAAAACACAATTTACCTGCAATGTGTGTGCCATGTGCCATATATTAAGGGGATATTAATGATAAGAAATTCTGGGGACTTTTGATCTCAGTACTCTCAATTCACATTTTCTCTTGCACTTGATTTCTAAAATATATGGAATTTTTAATACATTTCCCTATATTATACAAACCTACATCTGCGTAGGCCAACACTCTTGGTTAACAGAAAAATCTCTTCAAACTTACAAATTGAAAAAGAAAAAAAAGAAGAATGTTAACTCTTTCCCTGCCAAGGACAAAATGTACTCTCAAAAGTCCCACCCTGTAAGGGCCTATGTAGACTGCTGAGGTCTCTCGCATTGTGTTAACACACGAGTGTTAATGTGTGTTATGACCAGGGGCGGACTGACCATTTGGAAACTCGGGCACTGCCCGAGGGCCTGGGGTCAGTAGCGGGCCCCATGAGATGCCCCCGGTACCTTTTTCATAGGCTTTTTCGACTTTGGGGAAGGACACAGGGGCCCCATGATCCCCTATTGCCCGGGGGGCCCATGAGTTGTCAGTCCGTCCCTGGTTATGACACATGTTAAATTGTCTTGTGTTAAGGAATATATTTCTGAGTGGGCTGCCAATGCACCACAATGTGAAGGAAAATGAACCTTTTTGTATAATGTGCATACTCTACCCTGTGGTTTGTAGAGGTGTGTTGCCCTTCAATTTGCAGTGCATTGGGGTGCCATATATAATAAGTGGTATCCAACTGCACAAAGAGTCATATGTTGCATTACCAATTATATCAGTCACCAACCCACCCACAAGTTTAAGCTTATACCAGGGACGGACTGACCATTTAAGCACTCGGGCACTTCCCAAGGGCCCGGGGTCAGTAGGGGGCCCCATGAGATGCCCCTGGTACCTTTTCATTGGCTTTTTCATAGGCTTTTTTGGGTGTAGGTCAGGACACCGGGGCCCCATGATCCCCTATTGCCCCATGAGTTGTCAGTCCACCCCTGGCTTATACTTCAGCCCCATGTTTTACCACCAACAGGACCTGGACAGCTCTTCTTCATTTTGCATTCTTTTCTATGGATAGCCATGTAAGAGGGGGTTGGTATACCTCTTAGGGTGATGCTATGCTCTGTGTCCAGCCAGTCTGGGCTGGCCTTCCTTTCTCCTTGCTAGGTGTACATACTGAGTGAGGAGTAGTATCAGTCAGGAAACTCCACTATACCTGCATCCCAATGAGTGGAAGTGACGTCAAATCAGTGACGTCAGAGCCCTTCTCAATGCATTTCGTCATGAAAATGGACGTTGTCAGGACTATCACTGACTGATACTATACTTGTTGCTGTTGCAAATGAGGCACATCTATACATCATCGTGATGTTTTATTGTAAAAAAATTATATTAAGCAGTGTAGACCTTTCCTTTTGTTATTTGCTTGCATTCCCTGCCCTTCTGATGCTGCCAGATCCAGGGTACCCATGGAGGGGGATCATTGCAGTGCTTTTGACCCATTTATTTTACAAGATGTCTAAGATCTCTGCTGAGTGCATGAGAGATTGGGAGCCACAGAAGGGAGTTCAGTGATGGGATGTGTGGCACAGTGTTTGGTGTGACGTTTTGTAGAAGATTTGCACTGATATTTTGGAACCTGGAAGAATTCTCGTTGCATAATGCACTTTTTATTAGCACAATATGTTGCACTTATGATCATGCACATAACAGTGGTTTTATTTATTATTATCATACAGGAATTATATAGCACCAACAGTTTGTGCAGCGCTTTACAATATAAAGGGAGACAGTACAATTACAATACAGTTCAATACAGAAGGAATAGGAGGGCCCTGCTCATGGAGCTTACAATCTAAAGGAAAGGGGAGGGGGTACAAAAGGTGGTAGCTGCAGGGGATGATCTAATGGAGGTGGCTCAAGTATAGTTCTTAGGTGGAGGCGGGGTAGGCTTCCCTGAATAAGTGAGTTTTCAAAGATCGCCGAAAGGCAGACAGGGTGGGGGGTGACCGGACATACTGGGTTAGGGAGTTCCAGAGGATGGGAGAGACTCTGGAGAAGTCTTGGAGGCGAGTGTGGGAGGAGGTGATGAGGAAGCTAGAGAGCAAGATGTCTTGGGAAGAGTGGAGCAGACACTTTGGATTATTAGAAATGTTTTGCACATTGCACAACACAGTGGGTTTTTACATAGCACTATTGCACTTTATTTAGTATTTTTTAATTACATAATTTATAGTATAGACCAGGGTTTCTCAGCCAGCGTTCCAGGGGTTTTTAGGGGTTCCATGAGTAATGAGCGATTTCTGACTTTCTGATAAGTTCCCACTGAGACCGTTGATCTTTTTAGCTACAGTTGCAAGAAAAAGTATGTGAACCCCTTGGGATTATGTGGAGTTTTGCATGAATTGGGCATAAAATGTGCTCTGAACGTCATCTAAGTCACAACAATAGAAGAACACAGTCTGCTGAACATAATACTACACAAACATTAGCTGTTGCCATGGTTTAATTTCACATAACATGTAAACATTCACAGTGCAGGGAGGAAAAAGTATGTGAACCTTTGGACTTAATAACTGGTTGACCCTCCTTTGGCAGCAATAACCTCAACCAAACGTTTCCTGTAGTTGCAGATCAGACCTGCACAACGATCTGGAGTCATTTTGGACCACTCCTCTTCACAAAACTGTTTCAGTGTAGCAATATTCTTGGGATGTCTGGTGTGAATCGCTCTCTTAAGGTCATGCCACAGCATTTCAATGGGGTTGAGGTCAGGACTCTGACTGGGCCACTCCAGAAGGCATATTCTGTGCTGTTGCAGCCATTGTTTTGTTGAATTACTTGTATGCTTTGGGTCATTGTCCTGGTGCATCACCCATCCTCTGCGGAGGTCTTCTGAGAGCTCTTTTCTGCGAGGCATGGTTCACATCAGACAGTGCTTCTTGAAACCAGTAAACCCAAAACATGTGTGTGTTTTTTAAGGGCAGGACAGCTGTCAGCAACACATCCAATATCATCACACTGATTGGAGTCAAGGTTGGCTCACTCCTGGCTCCAATTAGCTCTGGGAGAAGTCATTAAGCTAGGGCCTCACATACTTTTTCCTCCCTGCACTGTGAATGTTTACATGTTATGTGCAATTAAACCATGGCAACATCTAATGTTTGTGTAGTATTATGTTCAGCAGACTGTGTTCTTTGTGACCAGACTGTGTTCTGCAAAACTCCACGTTCCAAGGGGTTCACATACTTTTTCTTGCAACTGTATCTGTAAGGGGGTAATTCTTCACAATCACCACAAAAGTCAGGATCATTCTTTCCAGTGACCATCACACTAATGAATCATGAGTTGTGGATGTAGTAATTTTTTATCAGGAGTTCCCTAAAACCAGAAGGTTATTTCAAGGGTTCCTCTGTGTTGAAAAGGGTAAGAAAGGCTGGTATAGGCAAATATGTATTAAGCACCTTAAATACATGGGTGTACATATAACACTTATCATTTGCACTTTACTAGAGGATTTGGAGCGCTGTTTAACTGACTTATTTTCTGTATATTGGATTCTCAGGGGTGAATTGTAATAGTTCTGTCAGGGTTTTGAATAAAGAAGTGTAGGGGTGCACATCCTTTTTTTTTGCTACAATATAAACTTGTATTTAATTTTTAAATCAATGCTTTATGTTTTATCAATTAATTTTATAAATATCACCACCTGGGTTAGAGAAGTATTACATAAATGATGTATAAATGATTAATAGTTTGGGATCATTTAGTAGCACAACACCTTTTGTTCAAAAGGAAAGGCATAGAAATGTTGCCTGGCAGGGGGTTGGCTGGAGTTCAGTGTGATCTCTAATGTCACTACCTTACATAAAAATTAATGCTTATTGGCTTCCCTGTTCAGAGAGCAACCAATTCTGATGGGGGTGTTGTCAGTCAAGGCATAGAGTGGTCTCTTCATTTCTCTTTTTATGGTTCCCTTTCTAATATTAATGTGCCAAAACAGAAACGTCAGTACCAGCTCTACTTTTGTTAACCACTTGCCTACCGGGCACTTTTACCCCCTCCCTTACCAGGCCAATTTTCAGCTTTCACACTTTGAATGACAATTGCGCGGTCAGGCAACATTGTACCCATTTGAAATTTTTATAATTTTTTTCTCACAAATAGAGCTTTCTTTTGGTGGTATTTACTCGCTGATGGGTGATTTATTTTTTTCGCTATAAACAAAAAAAGGGGAAAAAAAAGTTTCTTTGTTTCTATTATACCATTTTGCATGCGTGCCCCGGGGGCGCCCAGGAGAGTGCGTTCTGGGAGGACATCATTTGATGGCCTCCCAGAACTGGACGGCCGAAGTGCAGCCATCATTTTTCTTTAGAAAGCAGACACAGTCTAAGAAGAAAAGACTGTTCCCCTGTCACACTGCTGCAAAGAAGGAACCTTACAGTCAGGACCCGGATATGAACCCATGGCCTCTACTGTGTCCAGCAGTATCACTTCTTGCTGAGCCCCCTGAGATGCTGGACAGCTCACTGGACAGCTCCTTGGACAATCTTGCCTTGTACCTTGTTTCTGATGAAAATTGAACTTTTTGCCTCTCCCATGAACTTCCTATTTAAGTCGTGCCTTTGTTCTTTCTTGGTACTGGTGGGTGGCACTGGTGGGCACAGGGGGGTGGCACTGCTGGGCACTTGTGGGTGGAACTGGTGGGTGGCACTGCTGGGCACCGATCATCAGGGCACTGACCATAAGTGCCCTGATGATCTGTGCCGATCCCTGCTCTGACAAATGACGGTTCTTGGCAGTACTTTCCTCACTCGCTGACAGCGTGAGGAAAGTGCAGCTAAGAACCGGCAATTGCATTTCCTGGTGATCAACGTGTCATTGGACACGTCTGATCACATGGTAAAAGACCGCTGTGATTGGCTTTTTACCACATCACGTGATCAGCTGTATCCATAGAACACAGCAATCACCGAGAATGCCGGATGCGTGCCCCGGGGGTGCCCAGGAGAGTGTGTTCTGGGAGGATGTCATTTGATGGCCTCCCAGAACTGGACGGCCAAAGTGCAGCCATCATTTTTCTTTAGAAAGCAGACAGTCTAAGAAGAAAAGACTGTTCCCCTGTCACACTGCTGCAAAGAAGGAACCTTACAGTCAGGACCCGGATATGAACCCATGGCCTCTACTGTGTCCAGCAGTATCACTTCTTGCTGAGCCCCCTGAGATGCTAGACAGCTCACTGGACAGTTCCTTGGACAATCTTGCCTTGTACCTTGTTTCTAATGAACATTGAACTCTTTGCCTCTCCCATGAACTTCCTATTTAAGTCGTGCCTTTGCTCTTTCTTGTTTGGCAGATTATTGTGCTTGCTCCAGCTGATATCTCCTTGTCTTTCCTGCTCCCTACCATATCTTCTCTACCACTTGTTACTGACCTTCGTCCTGTTCTTCGAATATGCTTCTGCTGATCTCATCCTGAAATCACTTTTTACCAACCTGTGGCTTGTTTACTGACTACGCTTCTGCTTAATCCCTACCCAATATAACTGCTACTGGATCCCAGCTTGCTCACCTTCTGGTGGGGTGATCCTTAGGACTTCGACCTCATACTAACATGCAGCAAAATCCATCTCCACCATCAGCAGCTCTGGTCAATACCGTTTAGTGCTTAGACCCTGCAGCTCAGGTAAGCCTGCGTCATCTGCCAGGGTGACCTGCTTGCGTACGTATCCTGCTGGTTGGTGGGAGCATCCCTGCTGCTATAGCTACTGGTCTCTGAGTCTGACCCCTGACCGTGACACTTACTGTCTATCTGGAAACAGTTGTCTCTCTGCAGAGGTCCAATGCACACCCTGTTGAGTCAGAGCTAAAGTTATCTAATCAACAGGGAGCATTAGCTTTGTTGATTGCAGATTTGTAAGCAATTGTGTAGAGTTATTCACCTTGAGGTCATCACAGAGGACAAGGGGGCACTCTTTACATCTGGAGGAAAATAAATTTA